AAAAAAAAAATTAAAAAAAAAAAAAAAGAAAGTACTTTCTGAGCAAATCCAGTCCACAGGGTGTAAAATCCTGACAAAGTAATTTAGTGAGAGGGAGGTGGTGGTGATAATAGAGGACAGAGCACAGCAGATCTCTCCTCTGAGGAACCTGAACATAAAGCTGTGCTTGACATGGGCAGGCTGTGTCTCCTGGACTGTTGGCTAATCATTGAGCTTCATGGACCATTTGAGAGAACCCAGACAGTTCTCTCAGTCCCATCTCTGCCACTTGCTAATAGTGTGACCTTGGGCAAGTTATGCACGTCTCTGAGGATCTGTTTAATAATGTATCTCTCCTGGAGTTGATGTGAGGAATGAGTCAGTTTATCTGAGAACATACAGCATAGAGGTTGATGATCCCAGTGCATCCCAAGGATCCCAAGGGTTCCTTCTAAGACACTGTGAATTGCAATCCCAATAGTGTTTGCTAAACATGGGAGAGGCTTTGGGAAAGAGCATGGGACATTGAAACAGGTTAAATACATGTCTTCTCTGTCCATCCCTTCTGAGCCTGGAGGGGTAAGCTTTATTCCTTTTTTGCTGTTGCAGAGCAGATGAAAGGGATGCTCAGGAATCTGCCCTGGCTGGTGAGCACCTCAGCCTGGCCATGTCAAGCAAAACTCAATTCCAGAATCCTTCTATTCTGATGGCAAAAGGAGAACCCTCTTTTTTCCAGAATAAATCATACTGGTTTATTTATACATTTTTAACCTTGTTACTCCTTTGGATCTATTTCAGATGTGTCCTTCTTTTAGTCAAACCTTCACCCATGCTGCTGATCCCACCCCCTGGCTCCACTGGAACTTTGTTCCACAGATATCCCCTCTTTTACTTCAGCCTACTTGTTGTTATTTTTTAAGGCAGTGTTTTGTTTCTTTTTTCATTATAAAAGTAACACAATCTCATTAGAGGTATATGGAAACGAAACTCATTACCATATATATAAGTATTTTCAGTCTGTTTCTAGCGCCTTTCCTCAGGGCCCTATGCAGATAAGGGTAATCAGCAAGGCAGGGCCAGAAGGAGAGATTTTTGAAAAGGTCTCTGGAGATAGGCTAAGCTGATGAAGGAAAGGAGGAGAAGGGAAAGGCCAACTTTCTTGATTAGAAAGTCAGTAAAGAACTTTTCTAGTTGTTACTGTTGTGGGGGAGTTGAGGGAGGAGGAGGAGTAAGGAGATGGTTTCAGGGAGTGGCAGAGTCTAAGATAAATAAAGTGAGGAGAAGTGGGGGACAGGACATTAAGTGTGGCTGCAGGTTATAAACTGGGCCTCCTGGAAAGTTTTCAGAGAGTCAAATAAAGATTGGCATT